GTGGAAGCTGATACGCGACCTCCTGCTCATCATCATGGGACTCGTCTTCGGGCTTGTGGGCTGCACGATGGCCATGAAGCAGCTGGTGGATGACTTCCGGATGACGCTGAAGCACATGTAGCTTCTGAATTTACTACCAACTTTAGCTCTTTTTTTTTTATTCTGCCCGTTTTCCTCTTTTTAATAAAATCTTCCTTTGCAAGAGGTCCTCTCTGGCTTTTCCTGGCTTTTCCTCCTGCCGTTGCATTTAAGAACCAAATATTTGACTTGATTTGAGCTGGTTTGGCGGCGGCGGCTCCTTGTTTGGTGGCTTTTAATTAATTGCCAGCCAAGTGTTTGCCGGCTGCCGGCTTATCCCCCATTAAGTCGGTTGTCTAAGCCGCTGCTCGTGGCCTGCCAGCCATCCTGCTGGCATCCTGGCTTTCTGGCTTCCTGTTTGCTCATCGTGGCGTATACTTGATGTTCGCTTAGGTTTAATTAGCCCAGCAGGCGACTGGCGGCAGGCGGCAGTCAGGAAGGAAGGAAGGAAGGACGGAAGGTCCTGCGACTGATCATTTCCACATGAAACATTTGGCATTTGTCTGTAATCAAATGCAGCCAGCAACAGCCACAAAAACAGGACCACGAGTCCTGTGCACATTTTATTTGTATTTTTTGGACAGTGGATTTTAAAATTGAATTCCTTGCCTCAATGGAGCGCAAATACAAAAGGCAAAGTTGCCTAGCTGCCGCACAATAAACTAAAAGACAAATACACAAATAAATACACAGCATCCCCGAGCCAAGAACGAGAAGTACAATCTCAGTGGCGCACCTTACCCTCTCTCTCTCTCTCTCTCTCTCTCTTACACTCTCTGCAACTACAACAAATAGATGTATATATGTATATAGAAATAGGCACAGGAAAAGCAACTGCCGGCGACTGTTGACTGCGCGCCAGTGTAAATAGCACGGCGGAGTACAATACGAGAACACAAAAAAAAAATGGAGTACAAGATGGTGTGGCAGGAGAAGGAGCCGGCATAGGAGTCGAAGATGGTGGGTAGCTGTGGATGGAGCAGCTCCTCAAGGAACTGCACGACGAAGGACAAGGAAGACCACTGCAGCAAACACACACAAAACACAATTTCCATTCCTCAAATACGAATACACAAATAACAAAAACGAAAAACGAAAGAGATGGAGAAAACCCAAACGAGAAGAAGAATAAAACGTTGCGACTGCCAGCGACAGCAACTAAGTAGATGGGGGAAACCAGGAGAGCCAGCAGAAAGCGCAAGACAGGGGACGGAGGGGGGGGGCGGTGTGGGCAGTGGGCATGGTTCCCTGTTGTCCTGGGGCATGATTTTTGCAGACATGTTGCTTAAAACTTAATTTAGAGCGCCGCTTGCAATGCCCCCAAAAATACCAACGAAATCAACAACAACAACTACAAAAAAAAAAACAAACTAAGGAAAACCGAAATGAGATCAGGCGGGGGGGAAAAACGGAAATGCATGCGGTAGCAGGGGTGGCAGTGGTGGCAGGGGTAGCAGGAAGTAGAGGCAGGACTCACATAGAAAATTCGCATTCGCCAGCGGCGGTCGTTTCAACTAATTTTCGTATATAATTTCGTGGCCCAGACAACAGTTGCCTCAATGGACCATCCACCCCACCCTACCCAGCAGATGTTAGCGGCAAGAGTGTTGGAGGGGGGGAGGGGATGGCTGATGGAGTCAAACTCCGTGTAGCAGCTGGAGCCGCAATTTCTTGCCTACGAGTAGTAGTTGTCAGTGCAGCATCATGTCAGTGTCATTATCAAACAATTCGCTTGCTGCAAAGTCAGCCAAAGAATGCCACAGAGAAAGGGACAGGCATAGAGAGAGAGGGAGAGAGTGGGAGAACGGGAGGGAGGATTGGAGTCGTGTCTCACATGGAGCTCATGGGGTAAGTTGTCCGCTGTCCGCTTCTTTCTGGCAGCCAAACAATGCGTGCCACAACTTCATTCTCTGTCTCCAGCTCCGCTCCGCCCCGCTACGACTGCCTGCGACTGTCTCCTGGCTGTCACATATCCAGCCGTCGAGTCCTGTCACGACATTCTCTCAAATTGAAAAAAAATTCCCATTTTAATACAATTATTTGTAGGCTAAAAAGCAAAGGCAGAAAACGAAGCAGCCGTCCCTAGACTTTGCGTCTAGAAATGGAGATGGAGAAGCCACACACAGATATGGCCGAAAGGCAGCATGTGAGATCGAGTTTTTAAGCAAGAAAAGAAAGATAGTTGCCAGGCACTTACGGGCATTGTGGCACTCGCAAGTATATCCAAAAATTAAATTAAATATCAAGTTACAGGCAGACACCAGAATTAGCAGACAGAGAGTCGAATAAAACCACTCAAAAATGATTTGCAATATCCATAAAGTCCACCAAATGCCACCTGTTAGATGGCCCATACTCTGTGGTATTTTCCACCTCAAATATCAACCATCAAAGTGACTCTTCACTGTTGTGTGTGCTCAGGTGGTGGCGGGGATAGATGGAATAACTGGAGCAAGGTCTAAGCTATCTCTGACCCATGAGAGGAAATCCCTTTCCCGTTCGCGTTCCCAGTCCTGGTCCGTACTGTCACCGTCACTGGCGTTTGTCAAGCCGCTTTGGCACGTTCCATTTGTGCCGCCTAACATTTATTTGCCTGGCTGACTGAAATGTCATATTTACTTTTGGCCACGTTTTCTTCATACTGATTTCGTGTGTGCCTGTGTGTGTTGTGTTTGTTTGTGTGATTTGCATGCTGAAGGGGATGACAAAATTAGACCACAGTGTGGGAAAGAGAGTGGGGGAGGAGTGGGAGTGGGAGCGGGTGGGGGAGAAAGATAGCTGGGAGAGGAGCATCTCAACTATTTACTTATTTATTTCTTATTCAATGCAATTTCGCTTGAGAATTTACCCAAGTCTCCTTCTCCGTCTCCGTCGCATGTGAGTGCGAGTGCGAGTGGGAATATTTTCCAACATTTCTTGCCACCCGACATTTTCCTTAGTTTTTCTGCTTGTACCCCCCCACCCCACTACATTTTCCTTAGATTTTCTCCTCTTCATTCTTGCTTTCTTTCCAATTTGAAATGTGCACTGGGCACTGACGTGGAATAATGCTGGTATGCAGAGGAGAATCCCTTACAACCATCCATCCATCCATCCATCCATCCATCCAGCTATCCCTCTAAGCATTCATTCCTGCATCTAACCATCCATCTATTCATTCGTGTGCCCTGTCCTGTCCTGGCCTTTGCTTTTGCTTGTGCTTTTGTTTTGCGGCATGCGATTTGCAGATTTTTCCAACATCCCGAAACCCTTTGGCAGTGCTCGTGATGGTGCTCGTGCTCGTGCCCTGCCACCCAGAGATTCCAGACAACTGGTCAACAATGTGCCAGTGCATAAGTTGGCATTATGCAACAAATATGCAACAGAACAGGGGGTCACATACTCCCCGTTGGAATCCCCTTGTGGCATGTTGGGTTGTTGGATATGGACATGGAGAGCAAAGAAGGGAAAGAAATGATTGCAAGGCCAGAAGAGTTTGCCAAATCACTCAGCTCGGGCTCTCGGCCACCAGGCAAGTTCTGCCAGCGATTTGCATAGACAAACAGTCCGAGCATCTTAAAGATACATGCTGCCTGCCTAGCTGTTGCAATCAGTGAGAGCTGCGCTTGCCACTTGCCACTTGCCTCTCTCGCCTACTCACTCTCTCTTTCTTTCTTTGGCCTGAAGCTGGCTGCTAATTAAGTGTGTGAATTCCTATCGGACGATGAGTGGCGGCAGCCAGGAGGCAGGGGCTCTACTGCTCTTCTAATGAACCAACTAATTGCAACTAACGGCAACTGCAAAAGTAATCAAAGTGGCAGCCTCTGAGCCGACGACTCCTTGGTGGAGCCCCAAAAGAGTCGGCCAAAATGGCAATAATAACGAAAACTTTGTTCAAGAATTTTCAGAATGTTGCACAAATATGCGCAGAATGCAGCAAAATATGCTTGGACCAAAGCAAACATGATTGGGTCTTGGAGACAGTGGTGGGGGGTGCTGTGGGGTGGGGTGGGCTGGGCTGACTGAAGTGGCAGACAGAAGCTCGTTCAAGTTGCCGTTACTGTTGCTGCTGCTGCTGCTGCTTCTGGCTTATATCAATAATTGCCAAAAGCAAATTGGAAAAGTTATGCGCCTGCAGTTAATGCGACCAGCGGAAATAGTCGCAGCCAAAATGGCGCAACAGCCAAACGGAAGTGCCCAAAACACACACACACAAACACAGAAACAGACACAGTCACACATATAGACTCATGCATGAATATTCAAAGTTGTTGACTGTACTTCGGTTATTAGTATTCCACTTTTTGTGGCGGGCGATTGAATATGTCGATGAGGCTGATCTGATCCGAGTATTATTTTGCTTACTCCATACCAATCAGATAGCCATTTAAATATATCTATGTATCTGCTATATATCCATTTATCGTCTATCTAATTTGGATATCTCCTAGAGCGATCTTTATCCCTCTTTCTCTCTATATTTAATATCGAAAGAGTATCTCAAATTTCAGCCTTTACTTGCCCAAAACTTTCTGCTCGATCTTCTTCTTGTTTTGTTTCAACATTTTGTTGGAAACTTGCGCAGTTTTTTCTTCGTTTTGATTTCGAGAAGAGAACTTGCTGCCATTGGCAGTCGGCCGTTGTTGAAGCAGCTCTCAAGATACTCTCGTACTTTCGGCATCGATTCCAATTCGAGTTGGAGTTGCAGTTTGGAGTTCTGTTTGGTTTCGTTTTGGTTTTGGTTTGGTTTTTTTTTTTACTTTTGAATTATTAAAACTACGCCAAAACTTGCTCAGGCCGTTGCCCACACAAGGCCTCCTCCAGCATGGGCCTCGTTGCGGCCCATTGAATTGATATTTGCCATTTAAATTTCAGACTAACTAATGATCGAGTGGCTGGGGCATATAAAAGCAGACACTGCCGCTGGATTGGAGCCACAGAAACGGAATTAGAATCAAACATGAATCGAGGTTTGGTGCTGCTGCTGCTGCCTTGTCTGGCGGTCCTCACCGAGGTGAGTGTTCGATGCTATGTGGATAAAAAGTTTCTCTTTCATATGGCGATACTGCCTGCTGCTTCCACAGTGTCGCTATGCCAAGGTGAACATCAATCTGGGCCTTACAGTGGCCGATGAGACGCCTCGTCCGCTCACCGAGGACATGATCCGCCTGTGTGGCGAACAAACGGACATCTCCCTCCAGGAGCTGCACAAGTTCCAGCAGCACGACTTCGCCCATCCGTCGGAGCCCGTCCAGTGCTTCACTCACTGCCTCTACGAGCAGATGGGCCTCATGCACGACGGCGTCTTCGTCGAACGCGACTTTATCGGTCTCCTGTCTGACGTCAGTAATCCAGCGTCCTGGCCGGAGCGTCAGTGCCACGCGATTCGTGGTGCCAACAAATGCGAGACTGCCTTCAAGATCCACCAGTGCCGCCAGCAGCTCAAGGAGCAGCACAACCTCGAGGCCAGCAAGGATGTGGAGACTACCACCGCCTCGCAGGCAGATGACTTCCTGCCTTAGGCTTTTACTTGTTTTGTTTTTGACTCTTTTTTGGTGTTGGAATTTGCTGCAATTTATGTTTATTTCGTTGGATTAAATCCTTTGTTTATCTACTTCACTGTAGTCCCGCGCTTCCAACTTAATCTCTCACTGGAAAATCCTCTAATCCCAGCCAGAAGTGGCGGCATCTGTTGCGATCCTCGGACAGCTGCTTAACCATCTCTCGTACCTGTGAGATATCCATATGCTCAAGTTGCCGCCTCTCGACTTGTCCTCGAATGCGACCATTAGTGCAGGTTCAATTTTCAGCGCCCGGGCCCTTGTGGTTCTTTCGCTTTTCTATGGAAATTTAGCCACTTGGCTGTCGCTGGCGCTGGCTCTGGCGCTGTCGGTGGCATTGTTAACTAACCGACAGCTCAGGCCACAAAAAGCATGGGGTGGGCTATCGCTTCTGCACCACACGGATTGTGTAAATGACGCTAATGTAAAGATCGAAGTTGAAGCCTGAACCCTTAGACGACTCCCCTGCAGCCACCCACCCCCAACCCTCAACCCTCAGCCAACATACCCATGCACTTTGGTCGTGCCGTGGCACTTGTCTGCGATTTCAAGTGCATTTTGCTCGGCAATTATTTTTTGCTCAATGGCTACCCTACCCCCTGCCACCCCACCCACCCCGCCACTTGACTTTAAATTGTCGCCAGCTGCGCTCTGACCACCTGAGCTCTCGACTTCCCTTATCATTTGTTCTCTTGGCACTGCCCCGAAGGGCTGTCACTGTCCCCTCTGTCCCTCTGTCCCGCACTTGGCTGCGTTTTAATTTGTTGAGCAAAAGTGGCTAATTTGAAATTCTTTTGAGCCAAGTGCGCACATTTTTGAATGTCAACTGGGATGATGTCCCCTCCGTCGGTCGTCTTCCCGATTGCATCAGAGTTGAGTTGAGTTTCGCCTTTTTTTTTTACTATTTATTTCAGCTTCCCTACTGCCACAAAATGTAGCCTGCCACCACCCCATTAGTGGGGTGGCTTTGGGCTTTGTCTTTGTGTCACGCGGCATGAAATTGAATTTTCGGTCTGCGACACCCAGGGAGGGGGACGTAAAGCCAGCCAATTGGTGGGTCAACGCCACACCACTTCCGGGCACCCCCCCTTAAGCCTTCAATTATGTACTGTGGTGTGGCAGGGGGGGGGGGCGTCCACCATTTTGACACTCATACAGCGTAATTTGAAATGAATGAAAAATTTCTTGGTTTGTTTTTGTCTTTTCGCTCACTTCTTCAGCTGTTGATGTGGCTCTGGGCTCTGGCTTTGGGCCCCATCGTTCTTGTTCTTGTGGTTTTCCCCGTGGTAGTTGTTGTTTTTGTTGTTTTTTTGCACTTGAATTTCAATTTACATAAGTCTCTGTCTTGCACTCCCATCAGCCCCATCCCCATTCCTATCCCTATCTATCTTGCTGAGTCTCGCCTTTGTTAAGCTTTAATCTTAACTTTTTTCTGTGTCTGCATTCGCCTCTGGGTGTACGGCGGGGAGGAGGGTAGGGCGTTGAGGCATTGGAGAGTTTGGTTTTGTGGTTAAATGCTAATTTTATTGAATTTAACTCTTTTGTGTCTGTCTGGCTGAGCGTTAAACAGGAAATTGCATAATTATGCCTAATCTTCAGGCAAAGTCACAAATGTGCAATGCCACAGAGACAGAGACAGAGGTGGGCAGGGGACTGGAGAAAGAGGGAATGGCAGATAAGTACCTTTGCTGGATTGGCAGCTACTTCTATCCAACTCCTTTCTTAAGTGTTCTTCTGGCTTATCCATGTGCTTATCCCATTTTTAGAACTTTAAACTAGGGCAGAATCCACAGGTGTCCTACGCCTTACAGTGGCAGATCCTGCAAGCCTTAAGCCGCTCTTCGCCTACATTTATTTTCATATCAACTCTGACAAAGGTCTCCATTTTCTCTGCCCTCAAAAGATGTTCCCCAGACCACTCCCATTGCGGGGGCAGCTGCTGATCTGTCAGTTCATCTTGTAAATTGCATTCGTTCGCCTCATCAGACACATTGCAGACACATTCCAGCAGATAATAAAAACTGATGGAGAGACAGTAAGGTATCGGGTAGGGGGTAGGGTGGTGGGTGCGACACAGCCGAAAAATACATTTATATTGCTACATTTTGTAACAATATTTCAATCATTAATAAATCAATTAAAATAAATTGGTATTTTGTGCGCTGAACGTTGAACGCGAATCGGGCGAGCGATGATATATTTTTTTTTCCTCTGCCGAAAAAACACACACCCACCCCGCCTCTGGCTGAGTGTTTCTTGTTCTGCTCTGTGATGAATTCGGTTCCATGCCATTTAATGCAATTACGGAAAGCTTACCACGCCCCCCCCCCCCTTTCCGCTGTTGTGGCAATCAGATATAGCAGATAAATCAGATATGAGGCCGAAAAAGCGAAGCATTTTTGATGCCGGCAAACCCGTCTGACATTTTAAAGTGACTGACACTGGGCCCAATGCAGAGAGCTTCAATAATTCATTCAATAAATTCTCTCTGGCTTTCATATTAACTGCAGTAGGCGCGGGAGTGGGTGAAGCCGATATTAAAATGCATTTATATGAAATTATGTTTTATCTGCCAGACGACCGACAATACCCCCCTAATTGAGTGGATAAGGGGCGAGGCGGTGCAAAGGATACCCTTGCAGAACATGGAACTATGATGGCACTATGCACTCACTCGCTCTCGGACAGGGACACGGACACGGAACTACTCTCAGCGCCTTACAACTGGGGAGACATGTCAGAACTTGCGCGACGTCTGTCGATTTGTTAAGTAGAAGGAGATGTCCATGGGTGGCGACAGGCAGCAGAGAGCAAAGAATGAGCGAAGAAGAGGGGAAGCTAAGACGAAGGCAAACAGACAGGCGACAAATCCATGAGAGAGGGCCTGAGCGAGACATGAGCGTTAAGAGCATTAGACTAAACTTTGCCCTCGCCGTTGATGTTTTACGAGTACTACATATACATATATATACTCGTATGTATTTGCTCCAATAGAAGATCCCCCCACACACCCAAAATATGGCTAGCAGGTGGCTGCTAGTACTGTACTTCTGTTGGCAGTCACTGTAACTGAGTGAAAAAAGATGCGCAGCAAGCAGCCTTGATACCGAATGGATTTGGCAAGAGTTTAACTTAAATTAAAAAGATATATATTATCCCTGAAATAAGCTTAATGCGATTAATAGCAGTCTGCATAGAAATGGCAGCCATGTGTCTCTAGATATATGTTCTTCAAACTAACTGTCAAGCTCCGAGTAATTACCACCCTAAGGCAATAATCCATGACAATAATCCATAGTTTCAAGGCGGCTCAATAGGGACTCTTAGGGACAGGAACAGGAACAGGAACCATCCATCCCATTAAACCATTTGAGTTTTGTCAGAGAGTTGCACAAACATTTGATACTTATAAGAAATTCTTTTTCGTTTGCATTTTTATTGCAATATACATACATAAATATATATGTACATACATCTTTTCGTATGTTATGCTGCTGGCTTAGAGAGAGAAAAGAGCCAGTTGTCTGTTGTCTGCTCCGAGGCGTTAAGAGAAGCCACCAATACCAGAACTCACCCAGAGCCAAAAGATCGATAAGCAAAAGTTGAGTGGAGGGGCAGCCGCAGCCGCAGCCGCAGCATCAACAAAAAAATGTAAATAAAGTGCTTCAGCAGGGGCCTGTGTGTTGGATACACGGCATGGGGGAGACGGACTGGGGGGACTGGGAGCATACCACAAAATCTCATCACGTTGAGCAAATACGGCCTGCATGCCGGGACGGCGTTCAAGTGTAGATTAAAAAATGGCCGCAAATAACTTTGGGCCTACGAGCCGGAGGAACCGATTCACACTTGAAAATCGATTACGCAGCTGTGATCAGGCACGCCTCAATATCCATCCTCCCTTCTGTTTGTCTGTTGTCTGTGTGTGTGTGTGTGTCTCTGTGTGTTTGTGTGTGAGTGTTTGAGGGGCGTTTTTGTTTTGGCAAATCACGTATTGGCAATTGCTTACACGCTGATTGAGTCCGGTTCTGCACCTAATTAGGGTGCCCCATGCCCTGCCCTGTCCTGCCCTCAGTCACTTTCTGCCATTTCATGGCAGTCAAATCAACGGAATTGCAGCTGCCTCACTGCCCATCTTGCCACTGAAATTTCATTCATTTGTCATAAGACCGAGAGCAGGAGAACCACAGCCAGTACCAGTACCAGTTCCAGTTCCATCTGCGGAGACAACTGACGACTACACCAGCCAGGCGACAACAGCAGGAATTTCTTCATTTGCAGGGAGACGTTTTGCGGTGAAAGTTGCTGACATGGCAGCAGTGCTGCCACCAGTGGAAAGGGCAGGGGATTACTAGGTAGGGGTGCGGTACGGTAGGGTATGGTAACGACTGGGGTCTAAGGCCGCTTGACGGCTTGTTGCGGTTGTGGTCGCGTTGTTGGGTTGCTAGATTTTTGCCAGCTGTTGCTGTTGCTGCTGCTGCTGCTGTTGTTGTCCTTTCGAATGCCATGCAAAAATAATTGCAGACATTTTGTGGCCCGGTGAATGTCTTCTACCTCTTTCTCTGTCAAACCCCCCAGCCCCCCCCAACCCCTGCTGCATATTGTATTAATTAAGAAATTTTAGTTGGTAGATTTGAGGTCTATTAAGATGTGAGAGCGGCAGCTGGCAGTCTGGCCACCAGTTGCCATTAATTTGAGAGCCAGGCACGTGATGCAGACAGGACAGGAATGTGCAGCCAGGAATCTCTGAGAGCTGCGTCTTCTGTGGAATCGTTGTCATCATCAGTTGGTTGCATTCCTTGTTCTTTGGAGTCTGTCTGGTGTGACTGCTGCTGCTGCTGCTGCTGCTGCTCATGGTCCTGCTCTTTTGGTCTCTTTTTGCTCCTTCTGGTGGTTAATGAGTTATGTCAAAGGAAAACAATGTTTGTTACTTCATTTATATGCCATTATTATTGCTGTTGTGGTTGTCCCGTTTCCTTCGTTTCCCTCGTTTCCTTCGTTTTCCTTTTCCACATCCTCTTTGCTCC